CCTCCTTTTACAGCAATGGAGTCTCTAAGGCATGAGTATTCACTCTGCCTTCCATCTTATTATATGCTATTTCCCACTAAGCAGGCAAGTGTACAATGCACAAGTCCACTGCTAGTGGGATCAGTCACCCTCAAATTCATATTCTTCCTGCTTCCTACAGGCCATTTTCGCTCCCAGTGTTATCTGTTACATAAAGCCTTGAAAGGATTAAAATTTTATGAGTAAACCCTGTTTCATCATGCGAGCACACACAGCCTAGTTAAAAACAAAATTATCGGAGCACGGAACAGAAATAAAGCACATTCCCGTTACACTGGGTTTGTTCCTGCAAAACTAATTTCTGCCCCAGTATAAAATTCGTAATCAATAGTCAGTATAAATTGAGTATGCTATATAAAGCTAGGCAAAGTAAGTGAATGTTGCCGAAAGCGTGCATGGCTGAGCCATAATAGTACCTATTTTTACAAGACAAGTGTCACTGGTACAACACCCTATATAAGCTATATACCATATGGTGTTGTGCAGTGAGACTTGTCTTTTGAAACTAGGGACCAATATTTTATCAGGTCCTTGTGGATGGAGTGGGGAGTGTGAATATGCTTCTGTCATTTGGATTCAAGAGTTGGTGTGCCTTTCAGTCTTAGCATCAAAATTTGTGCTTCCTTGTTGCTAAAAAGCACACTTGTAAAATGTCAGAAGATCTTCCTCCCAAATACTGATTTTAAGAATCTCAAGCAGTATATGCTAGCAAAAGTTGTATCATGTACCAAAGGAAAATATAAGGTATTCTGCTAGCCAAAGAAGTTATTCTGAGGGGTATGTTCTAACAGCAAGCACACACAGAAGATAGGAACTCACCTTACAAACTAGGTGCCGTTCGAGTGTTTGTGCAGATTTAAATACGTTTATTGGTGCATATCACTGACGTTCCATGCATGTTACCTTGACATCTGCTGCCATTAAAACAATTTATTTCCCACAACTCTGGAAAATTTTAACTTGGTGAAAGTAGAACTTCACCCTATACACTAGCAGAAAAGCTCACAAGTTAGTTGGGGGGAAATGGGAGAAAGAATACCTTTCAAATTCTGCACTAGCTGAGCCTTGTTAGTAGAGAAGATTAAAAATGAAAAGTATTGCTACTGTTCCTGGGGCCCTGTAAACATCTGCTGTGTTCTGCAAATGAACAGATTGATTGCTGACTTCACCTGGCTAGCCGAGTCTCTTGGTAAAGACTGAGTCAGACTCATTATTATGCTTTCATGCATTGACGTAAGAACCTCTGAGTTATGAATGGGGTGGGACCAAGCCCATTGGCTAGGGCCAGGCTGCAAGACAACAATGAGGCGACCATATGCAACGCTCCAAGCCCATTTGAATTCTCAGTCACTCTGTGGGTGGGTGTTTCCCAAATATATGCAGTCCTTTTAACTCACAGTTTTATTATGCTGAGGCGAGTGACACTTGGATTTACAAAGAGCTGCATTCAGTCCTTTTGCGGAAGCATCTGTGTTGAACCTTACAGTTCCAGCTAATGTCCCATTCCTATAAAAATATTTCAGGGAGGTGAAATCAACTGTTTAGGTAGGGCTGAAGAAAACAGCAATGCCAGCAGCTGACCACATGTCACAAAGAAGCTCCGCTTAAAAAAACGGGTAACCACAATGGACTGGGTCAGACAATAATGGACACCATCTCACTAAGTCATACTCTGAGTATGACTAATGCTGCATTCAAACATGGGGTGTGTTAAATTTAATTCACACCACTGGGCGTGGTGTGGCACAAGGACCCAACGTCATTGGGGATGTTGCTACTCCCTCACCCTTTTGGGGCATGGGTGCTTCTGTTCTCCCATGATTCACTGCCTGGAATGCCAAAATGCTGTCCAAAATTTCATTATTTGAACAAAGCTCCTGCAATATTAGGAGTCCCTAGGTCCCCCTCCCCCAAAAACAGTTCACATAAGTGAGTACTAAGCTTACTAGATTTTGCCAGATTTCCAGACGTAGGGTTGTTGTTGTTTTGTTGTATGAAAGACCGCATAGAACAGACATTAACAGGTAAGGAAACGTTGGGGAAAGGAAATAAAGTGTTGTCTGAATGTAGCCTAACTTAGGTCTAGTGGGTCTACCAATGTTAGTGGATCTCCTCAAGAGCATGGTTTACTTGGATTTCAGCATTGCTTATTAAGCTGAGAATGAGTGTCATCTTCCCATTGAGTTACAAGTTTTGGTGCTTCTATCAGAGCTTGTGGAAGCCACAATTTCCAACTGCATCTGAACAGGAAACTGATTTTATTTCCTGGTAAGTAAGCCGTATTAAACCACACTTTTCTTGTTTGGATATAAATAATATGGGTAGCAATATGATTTTGCTGTATCAATCTTGTGGGACCTTTTCAAAACCAACAAATTTATTATGACATACACTTCTGTGGCTGACTATTCCACTAAATAGTGGACTACATTTTGTCATCCATGAAAACTTCTGTCCTAATAAAAATTAGTCCTCAAGGCGCCACAGAATTATTTGTCATATAAATAGTATTAATAATATTATTAGTGTCCTCCATTCAAAACAGATGCCTGGTTATTGGAAGGTTTTCTTGAAGAATAATGTGCACTGGGCTAAAACCCATGGAGTGTGTGTGTGTGTGTGTTTGTGCTGTGTAAGGAATCTGAGTTTTGGGTAATCAATTAGTCCTCTGTATGGTTTTTGTATGAAATACTTAACACTGCATTTGCCTGAAGTGGAGAGAGTTAATAGGAGGATCATGTGTGAAAAGGGCTCGGTAGATGCATCTTTGTGAAGGGAATAGGATTTATGATGGAGATGGAGAACCTGTTGACAGACTGTCCAGATCAAATGCATGACAAACATGGTGAAGAAAGAACCCTTTGTTCTCAGCGTCCTGCATTTTTTACCGAATACAGTTCAGAACACAAACTGCTTACTGAAGCAGACATTGAGACTATAGAGCATGTGCTTGCACACGCACACACACAGTGATCACTGTTCTTACTGGTGAAAGTTACCTGGAAAAAAGAATTAACTACAGCATTTGGTGGCTGGGGGCAGGGAGAGAAGAAATTAAATCTTGTATGCCCTCCTTTTTAAATATCTCTGTTCTAAGTAATGCTTATTTACCAGGTGTCTTTTAACTGGCCGTAACAGTTCAGATGGGTCAAATAACGCTGAGCTGTCAGTGTGAGAAGTTAGGTGTTGCATATCAGGCTCAGAGTGCTACTCGGTGACATGCTTTGTCTCTGGCTATTTGCAGGAGTGGCAGTAATTCAGGACAAATGCCCTCCTGGGACTCCATCTGAGACCACCAAGCTTGTTTTCCCAGCAACCTCTGTCCCTGAAAGGGGAAAAGGTAGAGCATTGTTAAGCCACAGCAATCCATAGCCCTCTAGGTACTTGCTAATTTCAGTGTTTGTGTTCTGGCTGTCAGGACCAGAAACACAACAGTAAGTTGATTTGTTTTATTCCCGGTTATTGGAAAAGATGAATGGTAGCATGTCACCGAAACAAGGGAGGATCGTGACGTTAGATATTATCTGCTGGGGAAGCTGAGGGAGAATTGAGTAAAAATGAACTTGGCACATCTGAACGCTACAGGACTTTTTCTTGCGCCACGGAATAAGGTTCCAAACGACTGAAATGAACCACCATAAAATCAACAGAATGCAGCAGTGTGCCAGGCATCAAAGCAGCTACATACAGTTTTAGCACATCATGCCCTAGGTGCCATTAAGTTCTTAATGTACCAGCCCTACCTACCTTGATTGACTGCAGGTAGATGTTGCTCAAGGCCCTTTTCACACACCACATTCACCTATTTTAAGGCCTGTGCGGGGATAGGAGAGTGCAGAGAAGATGGGCTAAATATGTGCTGCTTTGGGTGGGGTCATATCTGAATCTGTGCCAAGCAGTGTTAGAAACTCAGATATATCAGCTAGGCACCAAATGACTCCCTATTACAGTTGCCAAAATGGAATGCCTCGCTGCCATTTTGGGGCCAGACTACTCGAAAGTCATATTTTTAAATATGCCTTTTTGGTTCCAGAAATGCGTTTTGATTGCGGAGATAAAATATAATGGATAGAATTCTACAGGATGTGTTGCTAGTGTGTGAAAACAGTCCAGATCCAAACATCCCCAGGCATGCACCTCGCAAGTGGCCGATAGCTGGGTGCAAAATGTTCCTGGCGCCTGGCGGATTTTGAATGCTGGTGGCAAGTGAACCTGAAAGAGGCAAGCTTGGGAACATCATGCTTAGACATGTCTCAGATCCTCCTTCTGGTGTTACAAAGGGGTCTATCTGAGTTTTTGACCGCTGTTAGTTTTTGAAAACCACAAATCCAGAGGAGCTACCCGAAAAACATTAGTAGGGAATTGCCGCATGGGAAATAGTTTCATTACTGAATGCAGCAAACGCTTGGCAAGATGAAGCGCAGTGAATGGGCAGTTGTCCTGAAGCGGTCTCTTAATAAGGACCTTCAAATTACTTTTTGTAGAAGCTACGGTTCATCTTCTCTAACAGAGCGGTATTGTGGCATATGAAAAGCCTTGCTCTTTGATGACCAGACTTGGGAGGTTGCTCCAGAAGAATGCTGAAAGTCTGCTAGCTGAGGTTATGCACATTCTCTGCATGTATATAAAGTGGTGGGTTCTTACAGATATAACAGAAAGGGTCCACAGCACACTTCATGCCATTGCCATCCAGTCTACTGACAGGCGTTGTGCTGCATTCGTCTTTTCCCTATTAAAAATGGGTACATTGTGCCAAAAGCAGGAACTTATTCCATACAATTAAGTCTGGGAGTGTGGCTGTCGAAAGATTGGCTGGAAGGTTCTTCCCCTGTGAGGGTATAGTCCCCCACATTCTGTGATTTCCACCACAAAAAACTATTTTTTTTTTGTGAGATAGATGGCATGAACTCAGCCATAGAATTGTGCAGTTGGAAGGGACTGCAAGGAATCCTGCGCACAGCCATCCCTGGGTGGGCTTGAACCACCAACCTTCCGGTTAACAACCAGTCACATTGACCCACTAAGCCACAGAGAGCATCCATCTCCACGTGGAATCTGAGACTCCAGTTTAGTAGGCTATGGCTTTCCATTTAGAACCAGGGCCTCCACTGTAAAGAAGCCACATTATACAGAAGCTGGAAAAGAAGAAGCATTTCTTGCTGTTTTTGTCTGTAGTTCTGTGTTAATGTGTTGTGTGAATTGTGGCTCTCATGACACTGCAACACAGACAGTACAGAAAATGAAGAGGAGCAACACTCCCCCCTCCTACCCCATTTATATGTAATACACAGACATAAGACGCATGATGGAGGACTTGGATATTGATAAACACTATTTATGTGACTGAATTCCCCCCTCACTTCAGATTAATAAACTTTCTACCAGTTCTATACGAGTGCTCAATTGCCCTTCGTTCTGTCCTGTATTTGAGTTTCAATTTATTCTCCTGGAATTGAGAGGTAGGTGTTAATATGGAGACTAGATTTTTGGCAACCCAGAGAGCAACTCTGAGGCACTGAGGTTGTCTTGTCTGTATGCTACCTTTCTACAGTCTTTTTTCTATGTCCCCTTCAAAACCTGAGTTAACCTGGTGAACTACAAGCCTCTTGAGTTCCATATACTTCAATAAAAGCCTGATGTTTTTAGCATTGAGACTTGCCTGAATATCCCAAGAGTTAAAAGCAGCATGTGCAAAATTGCTTTCTGATTTATTATGAGCTGGTAGATCACACCGTTTAGCTAATCATAAGGACTAACGTGATGCTCCCTCCCCTGAAGAGATTCTGATTTCTGACCCAGTGGCAGCTGACGCTTGGCAGTCCTGCAGGCAGCAAACTCCACCAGGCTCTGGCTGGATACAGTTAATGGCCACTTTGCTCATGAGATGTGGTCCAGCTTTGTGCTGCAAAGTACATGTAGGCATTTTTGTATTGCCCCTTTGACACTTGAAGGAGTTCACCCGGTTTCAGTTGCGAAAGGGGAGTATTAATCCATGCGAGACATAATGCTAGCCAAACCGATGTACCTGCTTAATAGGAACTAGAGGAACCCCAAGGAAGTTACTGCTTTAACAATTTATCCAATGGACTTATTACAGGTGCTCAACTGTACTTGATTCACCCTCCGTGTAGCTCCTCTAAAAATAAATAAATCAGAAACTATCTTCAAGCACCTTTGTCAACTGGCATTCAATTGTATCTGGGATATAGTAGACAGTTGCTTTTGAAGAGCAAATGGCAACACTTTTGAAACATGAACAGAAAGATGAAGATCACTTTTTCAATTAGGGTGTAATTGAAAATATATAAGGAAGCTTAAGTGCAACTTGAACCGCCTTTATTGGAGTTTAGCCAAGACGGATGGAGAGCGGTATACACACACACACACACACACACACACACGCATAGCCACAAAAGTAAAGCAATAAAAGAGTAAGAACATAGATTCTCTCTCCTAGCAGAGATTTGTCACCATACAATCTTAACATCATCACATGGCTTACTGCTTCTGAACTTGGTGCCTATTTGCATGTTTTTGTATCAATTGCAGTTTCAGATTAAGTCTACCTGTCAAAACCTCAGGAAAAAGGATATAGGATTGTTCTATCAAGTGTCGAAACCGAAGCAGGCATTCAGTTTTATTAATTTACCAATGAGGATTTTTGCTTGTTCGTTGAAGAGGTGTATATGTGTGTGCACGCACATGCAGTGTTTCTCCAAAGCCTCTTCACAGGACACATGCAAATATTTCAAACTACTGTACTCCCATGGGTTCAAAATGTTTCACATGCATTACCTAGTTGTAATCCTTACAACAACCTTGCAAGGTAAAAAAACTAATTATTCTCCATATTGTACGTGGTGTAGACGTGGGAACTGGTGCTGAGAAAGTAGCTTGCCTGGTATGTTCATGGTGGAGATGTGATTGAACCAGAGACTTCTTGATTCATAGAATCGTAGAGTTGGAAGGGACCACGAGGGTCAACTCGTCCAATCCCCAGTGCAGGGATCTTTTGCCCAACGTGGGGCTTGAACCTGACCTGAAATCAGGAGTCTCGTGCTCTTTTCCATTTGTCTTCTGCAGGAGGAGCAAGAGCAGTAGCAGCTCTGCAGTATCCGTTTGGGTGCAACCTGATTTCCGGTGCTGTCTGGTTGGAGAGAGCATGTGTTGTGTGCAGGGCCCTGTGCACAGCAGCCTCGACTTTGTGGGTTGCCAGATTGTTGCTCTAATTGTGCTGCTCAAGATTTAAACGAGAGGGTTTGTGCAAGGACTTGTTGACAGGCATTCTCCCTGCAGCAAAGGGGCGCCGGGTGCAGTGTTTAAGCCCGTCCGTACCTTCTCAGCTCCTTTCGACAGCCGAACAGCTTCCAGACTGTAAAGCCTTCTCAATCATCATGGAGCTGGGCGATATTTCGAGCAGAGGGTGACCTGGAGGTGAAAGTCTCAGTATCCCATTACCAATCCCATGAGCCGCCCGACCACCCATTCTAATAAGGTCTAATACACTTGAGAGTCAAATTGCTGCAGACAGAGCTGGAGCAGTTTTGCTTTCTGAAAACCTCTGAATCATACCTAAAATAATTATGCATCCAAAATTGACCGTTCTTCTTCTTCAGAGCATTTTTTTCCCATAAAGCCTCGAGGCAGCGAACATATGTGGAATGTAAATCTGAGCTAGTCTTTAGTAGTAGTGAAAGTAGTACAGTTTTTCCACTACATGCTCTTTCATACAGATTATTTAATGGTTTCAGTGCAGGCAGCTTCTGAGCCAAAACGATGATTTCCCTTTTTCGCAAAGGGGAAGCTGGCCTATAAAAGGCCAAATGTATCAGAACAAAGTTAACACGGAAAAGTGTCATCCCTGAGTTGGCAGATCATGGACCTCCCTGAGGACTGATTTTGGCTGGAAGCCTGTACGCATTTACCCGGGAGTAAGTCACATTGAACTCGGCCGAATTAATTCTTAGTCAACGTGTACAGGCTGTACTGTTATTCCTGCTTTGATAAAACCACCTTCCTTTTCAGTAGCAGGTGAAGTGACTCCCCTTGTCTTTCAACTGGCCATCTTTTCCCTTTAAACACTTAATTGCTATCTACAGGGGAGGCAGAGAAATTGCACTTCTGTTGTAATGAAGGCATCCAAGAGGACAGAATTAATGTAGGGTGTTGAACCTTAAACCCCTCGCATTTGCTAACAAGCAGGCTTCCCTATATCCTTGCCTGTGTTTATGTGTAACGTGTGTTCAGAGGTTAAAAGGAGTTTGTTCTATGGCTAATGTCAGGGAAAAGATTACCTCTCATTCGTGTAGTCTTATCTTTAAAGGGGAGCTACTCCATGCAGTTCTAGAAGTAGGCTTATCCAGAAAACAAGGTTGAAGGCTTTCTAGGAATCTCATTAAGGCAAGAGACTTTAATTGATCCCTAAACAATATCCTAGTGTTTGAGCACTAGGACAAAAGGCCCTCTTTGCACGTTAAAGTGAAATTAATACCACCATGTTGCAGTAGCATGAAGCTAATGACTGTATATGTATTTGCATCCATGGTTGGATCCTGGTGTGATGTTTCTTCACCCAATCACCCACACTGTAAAATGCTTAACTGGAAGGAACTTTCCTGTCAATTGAATTAATCTTCTGCTCCAGGATACTCAACACGCCTACTGTGAAAGGGCATTTGCAAGGCCCAAGGGATTGTGCTTTTTCCTCTCTCCTCAATTGAAGATGCGGAAATTAAAATGTGTTACTAGAGGCTTGGCCTTGGGTGTGCCCATCAAGAGGAAGATGCAGACAAGGAGGAGGTCCTCCTGCTCACAATGTCAAATGGATTATCTCTCTGCAGGAAAATGGGGGCAGCAGTGGCAAACGATGTTGAAAGGGTGAATATGTATCTTGTTGTAAAAACACATTCAGCAAACACAGTTGCCAAAAACAGCACAGAATCTAAAGAAATGCCCATTGGGGCTCTGTTTATAAAAAAAGATCAATTACTGTAGGCATGGATGTGGTACATGCTCATAATGTAGATAACAGGAGAAGTGGTAACTAGGGTTCAGGTGAGAGGTTCTCTGGTATACGGTGTCCACAGTGTCAAGCTCAAAGCAAAGGCTTGCTGTTGTGTGGGGCGTACTTTGTAAGCTGTCAGTGGAAGTATGGCTTCCCGTCAGCTAACATAGGTAATTTTAAACAGACTTGCATTTGCAGCTTTTTTGAGGTGAGGCGAATAGAATGATTGACCACTTTTCTGTTGCACAGAAAGCTCACCTGACGCCAGGTGTTGTTCTTTTACTCTCCCAATGTAACCAGTCGAAGGCTAATTGTAAGCCTTCGTACATTTGTGTTGAGTGGTCGCAGATACTGACATGACCCTTTTCGGTTGCTAATTTTAGGAACGTTGCCTAGGAAGATGGGTAAAAGCTGTCACCTCCAATTACACAGAACTTCCCTGCTAGGTGCCAGTGGTTTGAAGTTCTTGTCAACTGACCACAGGTGCCATTTGGGGGGGAACTAATACTCTGTGGAACCAGGCACAGCATTCCCAGGCCTTTGGGGATGGGTCTGGGAAGGAGAAATGATGACAAGACCCAAGCATGGGATCAAAATGGCCACAATGAATACAGACGTCAATAGGCTTTGGTGTAGGCATTGGGTGTGTATCCTGAATCGGCCAGCCCATTTGCTGGGTGGTTATTCCTTCAGGGTTGATCCTGGGTTTCTTTGTCTGTCAGGAGAGAGAGAGAGCGACCACACCGCCTTGCTCTGTGTCACTATACAGAAATGCTCCTGGCTCATTTTTTAAATGAACAGAACCATTCTTTTAAACGATTCCTTTGTTCATTTGCATGCTGCTATTTGTTTCTAAATTATATTTAATAATGCAAGCTCCTCCAGTGTAACTTGCTTTGACATCTTGAAGTGTGATGAAGGGATTGGAGGGGCTGGATGAAGAACTGGTAGACTAGGTTCAAATTTCTATTCTCCTCTGAAGCTCACTACGTGATCTTAGGCCAGTCACCATCTGTCAGCCTAACCAACCCCTCTCGGTGCTGTTGTGAACATACAAGGGAGAAGAGAATCATATCTACAGTCCTAACCTTTTTGGAGGAAAAGGTGGGATTAAAATGTAATGACTAAATATAAATCTGATTTAGCACTTTATTTAAATTTGTTATTGGTAATTTAGGGCAGTATTCAACTAACATGTCCCATCAATGCAAGGATTTCTGCTTATGCAGCTTCGACCCCTCACGCCCCACACATACCCCCACCCAATCCACATCCTAGAACAGATTTAGGGGTTGTGCAGGGGGGAGGGGGGAGGAGAATGTCCCGTGGTGCAAGCAGAAATCCCTTTGCTGAAGGATCATTTGTGTAGCACTACATTGTATAAAACCCATTAAGGGAAAACTGGCTTTCCTCAATAATGAAACATAACTTCTTTATTTCTATCAGGGTCTGGAACAAGGAGCCCTGTTTAGGGAACATAAATATATGATAAATCCAGAGTCAGTCACCAAGGGGTGAAAAACAGGAACCTGGTCATTCTGTCAGGGTGCTGTGATGGGTGCACAGTTCCCATCTCTTTCCAGCCACTGAATCTGAAGGGCTTTTCCACACAGCTGGCACTTTTAAGAAGCTGCACAATAAATTCATGCTTTTCTCATCAGTTGAGCACAATCTGGGCCTAAGGTTGTTCTTCTGCTCCAGAAATATTGCAGCTTGGGCAGCATTTAACCACAGTTGTCATCTGGGAAAAGGTGATATTTATCATGCTCACTACTGTTACTAGCAATAACATTGACAGAGTATTTCTAAAGAGAACAAGTGAGGTGACTCGGTGGTGTTCTACATGTTTTGAAAAATGTGCACGTGATCAGAGAGCACTGAGAGCCAGCCTGGATGGCCAGAGATTGGCCATTGAGACCAAGCCTCAGGCTAATGAACTTCCTTCTGCCTCTGATAATTGCACATTCTGATTCCTTGTGAACTTTCAGGTTTCCAGCAAGCCATAGTTTAGCCTGTTTGGGATTTAACAGTAAATTGTCGTGTGTTGTGAACAAGAGAAACTTTGGGGAGGTGGGGAATTGAAGCACATGAGAGAGGGCAGAGGGAGGACATGAGTCTGAGGCTCTAGATTCAGTTACGTACGAACCAAGCTATAATCACTGAAAAACACCAGACTTTTTAAAAAAAGGGAGTTCACCATTTTGCATCATCATATTTATATACTGCTTAATATGCAAAGTTCCTAAGCAGTTTACATAAAACACGCAAAGATAAGGAAAATAAAAATGTGAATGGTATAAGAAAAATGGTGCTTCTGTTGAAAGGTCGGTTTCATAATTTTAATTCTGGAAGCTGTGTGTTGCTTTGTCTTACATGGGAACACACTTCTTGACATGTGGAATAGCTCAGTTGGAAGAGCATGAGACTCTTAATCTCAGTCGTAGGTTCAAGTCCCATGTTGGGCAGGTTTCCTGCATTGGGTTGGACTAGATGACCCTTGCGGTCCCTTCCAACTCTATGATTGTATGTTTTACTCCCCCCCCCAACACATACAGGGGAAAAGGCTCTTCTCTCCCTCAAAGACAGTACAGTGGTACCTCAGGTTAAGTACTTAATTCGTTCCAGAGGTCCGTTCTTAACCTGAAACTGTTCTTAACCTGAAGCACCACTTTAGCTAATGGGGCCTCCTGCTGCTGCCGCTCCGCCGGAGCACGATTTCTCTTCTTATCCTGAAGCAAAGTTCTTAACCTGAAGCACTATTTCTGGGTTAGCGGAGTCTGTAACCTGAAGCATATGCAACCTGAAGTGTATGTAACCTGAGGTACCACTGTATCAGTGTGTGTTAACTTTTGCTCTCTGCAACCTTGAAAGCCAGAAACTTGTTATGTCTTGGAACCATAAACGGGGGTTCTGGGGAGTCGAAGGGAGTCTATGGAGGCTAATCTTAACAATTACAGGCAAGCAGATTGCTAGATACCAGAGGACCTCATTGGCCTTAATTTGCCCTTTTTAATGAGACTTTGGTATGTTGACCTCATTTTGTTTCTGTCATATAACTGTTCTGCCATTTGACAGCAGATTGGGCAAGATAAGAATATGTAAGCAGCCTCCCTGTTCTGATGACAGTTTTCTGAGACTTTGCACTTCCCTTTATACCGTTGTGTGCTGTCAGCTTGCTTTTCTTTAGTAGTTTTTAGAGTGCTGTTTTTCTGTTTATCCTCACTCATATTGCATTGGTGTGTTGCCTGCATGTTGCAGTTAGGACAGATAATGAAACTAACAAAAATGTGCCAAAGTTACAAGTATAAGGTGTATTTGCATGCAGGCCACAAGGTACTGGCTTGATGCTTATATTGATAATAGTTTAGTATTTACGGTTGTGTGTGTGTGTGTGTGTGAGAGAGAGAGAGAGAGAGAGAGAGAGAGAGAGAGCACTTTGGGGTTTCTAGGAACAAAGATTCTCTTCAGTATACAGACTCCAGTTTTTCTAGCTCTTTCGAACTGCTCTTTATGTGAAGCCCTAGCTGCAACTCTTGAGTTCTGACTCAATGCACATGCCAGAGATGTGTGCACAGAATCATAGAATTGTAGAGTTGGAAGGGACTCCCAAGGGTCATCTAGTCCAGCCCCCTGCAATGCAGGAATCTAAACACACAGTCCCCCATCCAGTTTGAAACAATACAGGTCCCTGCTTAGCTTTGCAAATGTGCTAGCAGTTTCATTGCTGCACCCCTAGGAGCGGTTCCATGTGCCCAAGCTTCCTTCATAGTTCCCAGCATAATGTCCCACCATGGCAGACAGACTCAAGCTGTGGGAGATATGAGTGGGGTGGTTGGGGCGAGGGGTTTAAATGCATGATTAGTTTTATTTTAAAATAGCAGATTAATAATCATAGAATCATAGAATCATAGAATTATAGAGTTGGAAGAGACCACAAGGGCCATCGAGTCCAACCCCCTGCCAAGCAGGAAACACCATCAGAGCACTCCTGACATATGGTTGTCAAGCCTCTGCTTAAAGACCTCCAAAGAAGGAGACTCCACCACACTCCTTGGCAGCAAATTCCACTGTCGAACAGCTCTTACTGTCAGGAAGTTCTTCCTAATGTTTAGGTGGAATCTTCTTTCTTGTAGTTTGGATCCATTGCTCCGTGTCCGCTTCTCTGGAGCAGCAGAAAACAACCTTTCTCCCTCCTCTATGTGACATCCTTTTATATATTTGAACATGGCTATCATATCACCCCTTAACCTCCTCTTCTCCAGGCTAAACATGCCCAGCTCCCTTAGCCGTTCCTCATAAGGCATCGTTTCCAGGCCTTTGACCATTTTGGTTGCCCTCCTCTGGACACGTTCCAGTTTGTCAGTGTCCTTCTTGAACTGTGGTGCCCAGAACTGGACACAGTACTCCAGGTGAGGTCTGACCAGAGCAGAATACAGTGGCACTATTACTTCCCTTGATCTAGATGATATATTCCTATTGATGCAGCCCAGGATTGCATTGTCTTTTTTAGCTGCCGCGTCACACTGTTGGCTCATGTCAGAGGACTTGAGCATTTGCCTATGTGCTTAAGCCTCATTGATTTCAATAGGGTTTGGGCAGGTCTGACTTCATTTTGATTGTATTCACCAATCAGACATGTCAGCGTAGAAGCAAGCAAATTGTGTCATGGGCACCATTCACAGAAAAATCAACTTGACAGCATACTAATATTTTCGGTTGTATCCCCTGCTTAGGCTTACTCTGAGTAGACTCGTTGAAATGAATCAACCTGAGTTAGCCATGTCCATTGAATTCAGTAAGTCTACTCTGAGTAGTACTAGCATAGGCTACAACCTTTTGGGTGGAATTTCAGAGTAATGAGCGTTCCATCTGCACAAGCATTACCCCTCTCTTCCCCTGTATGCTGCTCTGGGGGTGGTTTCTCCAGACCCAGATACCCAGAGTCTCTTTTGGGGTATGTGGGGGAGCAGAAGTGATTGTGCAGGGCTTCCGCTCAGGGTTCGAAATCCCCCAGGTACCAAGCGCACCTCGCTACTGGCACAGGTCCAATTGCGACTACATGGAGGTTTCTGGGCACCAGGTTGTCAACTGATATCTCCATCGAGATAACTGACTCACTTGCAGCCCTCCATCATCTCATCAAGGAAGGTTAGTGCAGGGCTGAGTATATTTGACTGTGTTTCAGCCTCTCCATAGGCCACCCAAATGGAACTGAAAAATCAGTTTGAAAAGCTCTGCTATAGTTAATTAGTTAATACCTATAATTAACTATAGTCCACAGTTAATACCTTTTCCATTTCCACTGTGTGTGTGTTTCTCCTCCTTCCATATTGGGACAAGTGAATTGTTGTAAGAGCAAGCTACAGTGAAGCAATGTAGTTGGAAAGTCATAGAATCGTAGAATTGTCGCGTTGGAAAGCGACCCCTATGGTCATCTAGTCCAACCCCCTGGCGAATAGACATCCTGTTGTGGCAACCATAGCCCAGGTTTAAGGTGCCATTTGGCACCTAGCGCGCACGCACACACACACACACACAAGTTTCTAACACTGCTCCAGCTGACAGGGCTCCTTGGTTGAATCCGACCATACGTTTTCTACTCATTGATTCAATTTCTATCACACACACTCCTCCCCAAAGAGCCCAGGCACTACACCATGGAGATGGCAGAGGTGAGATGTGAGCTAAGGCTTCCTGAGTCATTGCTAGTCTCAAAGCCGTCACACTGCAACAATTCTTCGTAAGTCCAAAGCGGAAGTTCAAAGTACCCAGAGTGGGGTGCGCAGGCCTTCAAGGTGGCTTAGTTGTGGCTGACTGTCAGGATGAAATAGCTGTCAATCCTGCTCAAACCTGTCACCTCTTTCCCTGGGGACAGACTCAGCACAGGATTACTGGTACTTAAAAATTCATGGGAAAACGGTTCTTATCGCAACGTCATAATTGTTATGACTCAGAGGAGCAGAATTGCCATTCTGTCCTGCCTATTTTTCTTACTTTTTATTGCATACAGAGTTCTTAGCAGCAGCTGCAGAATCATGGGGGGGGGGGGAGAGAAACACACACACACACACACACACACAGAGAGAGAGAGAGAGAGAGAGAGAGAGAGAGCAGTGCTTTATTTATGCTAACTGCTGCATTTGACTTGGAAAATGGTGTCCCACCGGGTCCTGTGGTCAGCATATTATTGCTTGATTGATGGCTGTCGAACTGGCAGTTCTGGGCAGATTGCAGTGGGTGGAGGAGAACAGATGCTCATTGACTTTAGGGGCTTAGTGTCACCCAAGTCTCAAGACCACATCTGGGGGAGGGGGGAGCAGATGGGAGTACTCTGTTGACACCAGCTATTCTTCTCTGCCTTTTTTGCCTGAAAAGAACCCCAGCACCCCCCTCCAAGATGCATAATGTCGCCTTTTGTGATGCTTTAAAAGTGGAATGCTGTAGCCCAGAGAAAATGAAGGTGACGCCCACCCACACCCCACTTGACACAAGCTTAGCTTGAACATCATTGTGTTCAGCAGTCGTTAAGGCAGTCACTTTATGAAAAACCATTAGTACAGATCTCTAAGGGATATCGGTCTCCAAAAAGCATGACTGCATTGGTTTCAGTGATCATGACTGGGGTTCCAGAATTCGAGGTGGGAAAATATACAATACCAGGTTCAGCTGTTACAGAGAACCAAATGTTGTCATTGGAATGCTCATTCAAATTAGATAAATACCAAGAATCTGTTTTGCGTTGAGGTGGGTTTCTTCCCCTGCAATCTTGTTGTCGTCGCCATGATAAAGGGCAGTATCAGAGAGCATTTTCAATTAATGGAACCTGGATGGCGAAAGGTGTTGGCACTGATTTGTTGCACATAACAGCTAAAGCCCTGATCTTCCAACAGGTTGGGTCGGGACCGTGGCATGGGTTGTGGCTGAATCACAGCTGGTTGAGGCAAATGCTGCCACCGCCATTTTGTTTTATGAGGCAGAACTTCCTTTGCTCTTTCTAAGATAAAAACAGAGCATTGCCACCTCCTTTTGGCATGGAGGGGAAAGGGAGGGTGAGGTAGAGCAGCACACACTTGGAAGGAGTGGAGAGCATGAAGTAGTGATTGCTTTTTAGCTAAAAAGGAGCTCTGTGTGCTCTTGCCATAATTGATCCTCTAATGCACATGGTTGCTTTTACTTTTCCCTCGCCCTTCACCCAACATAAGCTTTGGCTCTAGGCTCGCGCATGGCACTCTGTACTTGCCCAGAGATCCCTGGATCCCTGTCCTTGGTTCCGAGTCACGAGGGGAGGCAGGTGGAGGCACTTGTGCCATGGCTCTTCCGCTGTTTCTCCTTGATATGCATGATGTTATAGGGAAAGATGGGAAGAGATACATATCAGGGAGTGGGAAGAGGGAAGTCAAGCTATTGTGGGAGCTTTGGAATCCCCTTCCTCACTGGTTACTGAAGGCCAGCTGTGTGTCCCAAT